CTCCCCATTCATAAAGGATAACCTCCAACCCAAAAGCTGAAGAACAAGGTTACTAACCAAAAGTTAGAATCACCAGAACGCCAACCAAAGGCGAACTCTGTGGGACAAAATGCCACCCCCAGTAGTTGAAAACTACCAAATGGAATCATCCACCCAAAACCAAAACTACCAACCAAAAGTTGGAATCGTCAACCAGGAAGCAAAGATTACCAACCAAGAGTTGGAATAACATCAACAAAACGACCAAACTAGATATTACCAACCAAAAGTTGGGATCAAACTCCACAATATAAACCAAGGACTACCACCAACCAAAAGTTGGGGTCGCGTCAACAAAATCCTATCAACCAAAAGTTGGAATCAAACGCGGCTACCAACCAAAAGTTGGAATCACACCCCAAAGGACGAAGACTACCAACCAAAAGTTGGAATAACAATTCTGCCGAAAAACATTACCAAAGGATTACCAACCAAAAGTTGGAACAACAAAACCCCACCAACCAAAAGTTGGAATCAAACACAAATGACAAGTCACAAATTACCAACCAAAAGTTGGAATAACGACTCTGCTGAGGATTGCCTTCTTCTTTTGCTTTTGCATTTTCATCCCATTTTTGGTGCGCAATTGTGTGCTTTCTTTTGGATTGCCTTCTTCTTTTGCTTTTGCATTTCCTTCTTGCATTAATAAAGGTTGAGATGTGCTTGTGGAGGTGTTCACCCCACACTTTTTCCTCCCTTTGCTTGTGTGTTGCATTGCATATGCATCCTTGCATCTTTCTTATTTTTATGCTTCCTTCTTCTTTTTCTTTCTTCTTTGCCATGTTCCCTTAGAATCTCTAATATCTCTTGTTCAAGAGATGATTATGATAGACCTTAGACTTGAACCCATGCATGATAACATTAGGTAGCATTCCCTTTTACCTCAACTAAATTGCATGACAACTATTAGGTTTGAGTTAGTCTCCCTTTAGAGTGTCTTTCTCTCCTCATCTTCAAATTCTCTTAAAACACTTAATAAAGGTTAAGGATTGTTGTATGTTACAAGCCTTAAGTACTTAGAAAATGGTGATTGGGGGGCTTCCTCTCAATGGCCTAGGGATTTTAGTGTACACCCTTTGGGTGATATGCGACACATTCGCTCCTAGGTCATAGTCTTTAGTGCAACATGAATTGCAAACAATAGTCAATGCTCTTCTTCTCTAAAAAACACAAACAAACTTCAAATCATTTTATCCTTCGGGATCCTAATAATGGAAAACCTTTTTCATAAGGAGAGTTTTGTTAACTCTTGGTTCTACCGCAAACAAGTAACGCCTAAGTCTCCAATGGTCGAGCTGCATACACCTAACTGCTGGAACTAAGTTTTAACTCTACTCGGGTAAAACATTTTGAATCATCCGGTGTTCTTGTTAGCCCGAACTACGTTTGCTCTGATTTCTCATACCCGATGAGAATATGTAGGCACAAGATGGTGATGTCTTGGCGAGCAACCTTCTCTCACCTTTCACCCGTAGTTAGCCGAACTACGTTGACTCTGACTTTCCCATTGCACGAGGGAATACTTAGGCACAGAGCGGAGATGCTCTGCCGAGTCTCTTTTCTTTTCTTTTGTCCCTGAGTCGTAGCTTAAATAGTAAACACCCTTTTAGATAGACAACAAAGCATGGATCTCATCGAGTACGAAGAACGTGAGGGGTGCTAACAACTTCCCCTTGCGTAACCGACTCCTGAACCCGAGATATGGTTGCGATGACCTGTCTTCTCCTGTTTCGTTAGGTTTTCTCTGATCGTTTTCTTTCCCTCTTTTGGGATAAATAACGAGCGGTGGTGACTCTTCTGTCATTGTCGGCCCCTCCTCATAGCGATGCAACAGCTGGGGAGTACTAACCAAAAGTTGGGACAACACACCCAGAATAAGCAGGCAACTGAATCCACCGACTCACACCTGGCAATGAAAGTCCCGACAGGGAAAGAAAGGTCTAAACAAACGACTGTTCCGATGAAAAGAACATCAGTTCACCAAGCAACTCTTTTGGGGAAAAGAGACATCTGAGCGACAGGCTCGGCCAAGGAAGAAGGAGCTTACAAGTGAATCACCTGGGGAGAACGACAGCGTTTAACCAAACGACTCAGCTGAAGAAAGAAGACGTTTCACCAAACGACCAGTTAGGAAGAATCTGATAACATGGCCAACCCAAAGATCCACACCAACAGGGATAACACGAAAATCTCCTGAATCAAACAACCCCTGACACCAAACATGGCTTATGCTTCAGATGCATATGTTTGAAAATGGCGTAATGCTCCATACGAAATGGAAATGCTACACATTTAGGAGGATTCCATGCAAAATGCAAATGCAAAAGAACCACTTCAGCAAAATAAATGCTAGAGAGAAGATACCAACTCCGCCGGGAAAAGATATCACGTGCCAAGTATGATTGGACTTATGCTGGGGAAAAACAAGCCCTGGATAGCCTCCTGGAAAATAACTTTCCTGGGTAGTACTGCTCTTTCGTAAACAAAAATCCACTCCGCTGGGGATCAAATCACATTCTGCTGAGGAAAGCTCCCTACAACTCTTCTGGGGAACGAACAACTCGGTTGGGGAAACGAATCCACTCTATTGGGGAACCTGGCCCTGAACGGCTCTCCTTGAAAACTTCAACCTGCTGGGGAAAACACCAGAACTCCACCCAGTGGGGAATCACGAACAATATTGAAAGCTCCACTCTGCTTGGAAAGAAATATGCCCTACTCGGGACATACAGGTAACAACCTGCCCTGCTGGGGAATATCAGATACTTCTACTCTGCTCTACCGAGGAATAGGTCATGCTTCTGCCGGAACACTTGCCCTGTCGAGGGAATCAGCACTAAATTCTGCTTGAGGAAGAAAATCCTGAATACCGATATTACTGGAAAGACACCAGAACGTCGACTCCGTCGGGGAAAGGGTGTCAAAAACGTTGCCTCTACTGGAGAATAATACTGGATTGCCAACTACCCTGCCACCGAGGGAATATCCTTCCACCTTTCTTTGCTGGGAATATGCTGAGAACAAATCCACCATGGTAGGGAGACAAAGCTTTCTTCTGCTGGAGATACACTACACACACCTGCTGGTGACAGCACTTTTGATCCACTGGGCATGATTGTGCCAGGCACGGTTAGGCTTTTGGTTTTCTGTGGAAGGTCAGGTACAACCGATATTAGGAAATGCTTTGTCTGACTTCCTGACATTCGTCTTGAACTTGAAGGTTGACTAAACCTGCTTGAGTAACTCTGCTAAGCTCTGAAAATATGGGGACGAACAGTTCCTTCGTTTTCAATTTTTCCCCAGCCTGTGGGATCTCTGTAAAAAAAACTTCCTCACGAGGAGACTTGAAATCTCTGTACCCTGATGGTTTGATATGAACTGCCTCAGCATTTTGAACCTCGAAGAGGTACTTCAAGTTAATTTCCTTCTGGATAAGGATATCTTTTGGGCTCTTAGGGTGGCCTGCCCCAACCTTGCAACGACCTTGCCCCTGACTAACTGATTTATGGAGTAGTACCCCTGGCTAATCTTCGAGAGGTTTAATGAATTTCAACCTGATTGCCCCAGATCAATTGACTTAAGATGGCTGACTCCTATGATATGATCATTTGATATATCTTTCCCCGGTTCAACGGAGTATTCAGGCATTCTACATTCTATCAAGATCAAACTTTCCACTGTGGAAACTCTCCTGATGTCAAGTGCTTACTCGCAAGTAAAACAAATTGTTCTGCATAAAAGATATATTAATGCAATGCATATGACAATTTTGAATAGGGATGCTCATGGTTGGTTTATTCACTAAACCCATCCATATCCAAAACAAAACCATTCATTTTAACCGGTTGTCATAACCAATCCATATAAATGGTTTTGTTTTTACAAAACCAATTATAAACCGGCTATATCCATAACCAAATTTTATAACCGGTTATATACTTTATATTCGGTTTTAGAGTTCATATCCGGTTTTTAACTTAAAACTGGATTTGAATATAAAAATCCGATTTTTAAAACTGGACATTCATTTTTTAACAACCGGTTTTTCAACTAAAATCGGTTTTTGACTTAATTCACCATCTACCATTATAAAGCACTGCAATAACTAAACTCACCATCTACCATTGTCCCAGAAATTCAACTAAAAAGTGGAATTTTCACCTTTGATCTTACATGGACCAAGATTCAAACAGTAAAACGTAAATACTTCCTTACAAATATGCAGAATTAGTTTAGTAGTAACTTCTACTAGTTCAACAATAAACTTATAAGATATAAACTTACAATAAACTTCTACTACTAACATTGCAGACACATCCATATACAACTATTTTGTTTTCATTCAAGCAGAAACACTAATAGAGATTCAGAACAACAAAAGATAGTAATTGTATATATCAACAGTAAGATGGAACGTCGACCGGTCGGTAAACAAAAGTTCTGACTGTGTATATCCCCTTAGCATCTGTAAATGCCTGAAAGTTTAGAACATCGCCGGATTTGGTGATGCAAAGAACAACAACTTCAGCACCTGCATCAAAGCATCAAGGGACTCGATTTTAGTCAGTAACCACAGAACATTATTAATTTAATTATTACATCAAGTTAAAATAAAACTCAAACTCCACAGAACATGTTTTATAAATATAACCAAACAAAGCTAGAATGAGAAAATTGCAATCAAATAACTAGTATTCCAACAAGCAGAACAGAAAAAATGTGTCGAGTATTAAAATCTTAAATCTCGTACTTTTTACCATATAAACTACTTTGCTTAATTTCATCGAGATATAAAGTTTGCTTAAAGTTCTAAATAATTACCCAAATAAAAACTTTATCATCAAGCAAATTATAAAGTATCTGAATTAGACACATGGACTTTCTTTTTCTTCATTATATATATGTCACCTAGAAATCAATAGAAATATCATAATCTAAAACTATAACTAAGCTAGATAACCATGATTTGCTCTACTCTTTATTCCATTTTAGCAATGCTAATCCTTGTTAATCCATCAAATGCTCAGTTGATTTCAACGTTCTACTCCAACACATGCCCCAATGTTTCTTCCATAGTGAGAAATGTTGTGCAACAAGCTCTGCAAAATGATTCTCGTATCGGCGCGAGCCTAATCCGTCTTCACTTTCATGATTGCTTTGTTAATGTAATTCATTTCAAACACATATTGGTTAAAGCTAGAGATGGAGATTAGTTAATTAAAGCTAGAGATAGAGATTAGTTGATTGATATTTTTCTTATCAGTTTAGGTGACACAAATCTTAACATCAAATACAATAGCCTGCATTCATCCTTTTCACAATTCCTAATTCAATACCACTATCTTAGCATTCAATTCAATAAATAATCATTAACAACCAATCCAAATAGTTTAACCTGCAGTTTTAACATGTTTTAAAATGCTAATAATGCTAATAGACCCACCAATTCGAATTATAAACACACCAAGCACAATGCAGCTAACCAACTAATCATTCAAATTCATACCAAGTCACAAGTTCATAGCAATTGTTAATGATTTACTTGACATGGGACTTGAGGCAAATGTAAGTTTGGAAGACCTAAACAAAAGAGAAGGTGTTCCACAATACCTGACAGTTAGAAGTCTCCTTTATCTTCAATCCTCATCAAAAGTATCATAAGAATTACCTCCGTTAGATTGGTTTTGCAAAAAATATTCTGAAAAATAAGGTAGAAGTCTTTAACAAAATTATATGAAATAAATACCATCTTTAATCAAACATTTTCAATTTATTATTAAATTTAACTTTACCTCACTCAATCTTCTCAAGCTCTTCAATATCATCTTGTGTGGGCAATGGTGAAGGTGATCCGCCAAGCCAATCTTCTGTGCATATAAGTGCTTTCACAGATTTAGCAGTTAGGCGACTGCGATATTCATTGAGCACCCTTCCTCCGGTACTGAAGGCGGACTTAGATGCCATCGTTGAGACGGGTATAGCTAATAACTCTCTCGCAATGTTAGATAGAATTGGAAGTCGACTTGAATACACCTTCCACCAATTTAAGATATGAAAGTTAGGAATATCATCTTCTAATCCATCTTCTAGGTACTTTGTTAATTCAGATTTCACTCCACTTGGTTTGATACCACTTGATTGCAAAAATACCCCATAATAATAGTAGGGATTTCCAATTCGTCCAATTATTACGGGTGGTTCTGCAGAGTCACTATGAGATCCACATGTCCCACCACCGTTATACTCCTCAAATATTGTTTTCAAATCTAATTCTAATTTATCTGTCAAGAAATCAGCCTCTTTTTTGACAAAGTTTTTTCCGATAAACCAACGAGCATACATCATTTTCTTCCTGGGATCTAACACAAAAGAAATTAACATCAACATGTTCAATTTCTCAGGACTTCCCCAGTACTTATTGTAGAAGCACATTTCAATCTCAAGGTTTTGATGATGTCAACAAAGACTCAAGCTCATTCCATGATTGCAAGCAAAAAGTCAAAGCTTTCAAAATTGATCAAGATCAAGTTTTTTACACTATATACCCGTGGGAGTATATATACTGTGAAGCTGCTTGGACTATATACCCGTGGGGGTATAGACACTGAAGATAAAACTAGAAGCATATCATCTATGGAATATTGTCAAGCAAATCAAGCATCATGTGCAAATGTTCATTCAAGTTTCAAGATTTGGACTCAAGCTTCGGTATATCATTTTTTACTCCTTTAATTGATATACAAGTGTTCAAATATTTTAACATGATAACATATTGCATTTGCATGTTTTTAAAATCATTTGAGTTGGTATAACACTTTTTAACTCAAGCATTTTTCTGAGTTTTAACAGTGTTAACCGATTAACCATATGGGTTAATCGGTTAACGGCCTTAATTTTTGAATTCTTTAGGCCAACGTTCAAGTGTTAACCGATTAACCTATAGGGTTAACCGATTAACACTGAACGAATTTTGAAAAATTGTTGCTGTTAAAATTTAAATGCTGTTTGAATATTATACCTTTTCATGTTTTGATTCATACTCAATTATACCTTTTTGAAATGGTGTTTTGCTCATATAAATTCTGAATATTTCAAATTGAAAAACATCCTCCAATAATTTTCAAATATTCATTGAATCAAATTCACTACTTTTCAAATATTTTCAAAAGTGTTCATATTGTTCATACAATTTCATATCCAGATTTTTGAACACTTGTATTGATATTGAAAAGAGAATTGTGATCAAAAGGAGAAGATCAATCATTAGATTGATATTATCATTGTATCTCTTTTGAATTACAAAAATACAAAGTTATTTCTATTGTGACTTGTGATCCAGGATTGTTGGACACAAGGGTTAGTGTTTGCAAGAGGACTGTTCTTGCTCACTAAGTTGTTGAATTAGTTGTTAGATTGTAGGCCTCACCGGTTGATGGTGTGATAGGTTGTACTTTCTAAAACTATAATGAAAACTCTTTTTCATGTGGAAAGGGGAGTGGAGTACCTTCGGATTGTGAAAGGAATCACTATAAATCTCCGTGTTCATTTTTCTTTCTGCTTTTACTGCTTTCATCACCAAGAACTTAAAGAAGAAAAATTTAAGAATATCGAAAAACCGGAAAAAGTTTCTAAAGCCTAATTTACCCCCCTCCCCCCTCTTAGGCATACTCTGAACTTACACATATCATATTTCTCCTTCATCTTTAAAGTTATTTTTCTTGTATGAGCTAAAGATAAATCCTTAGACGAACACATGTCTTTTATAGCCAAACCAATTGAAAATACCTCTGCCAAGTACATATTACTTGTCACGTATGTTAATCCCGATATGCGCAAAGTGGAAGCCTCAAAAACTTCCAAAATTTGAGCGACCCCACGTGCCTTCTCCAAATCTAAAGGAGTAGGAATTCCACTACCACTCTCAATTTCTTGAAAATATTTTGTATCAATAATACCAAGCTCAACAAATGCCATTTCAATTTGTAGAGATGTGCACAAATTCTGTGGCTCAAGCAACAACTCCTCGATTACGGTATAGATCTCGGTTGCATTCCTCTTCGATGTGATAATACAACTGCCATCAATATTATAAAGAAACCGGTCATGCATTCAAGGACAAAGCATATAGATATTCGGCATCACTTCCTTCGAGATCACGTACTTAATGGAGATGTAGATGTTACTTTCGTCGATACACACAATCAACTCGCCGACATCTTTACCAAACCATTGGCGAAAGAACCGTTCTTCAAAATTCGACGAGAACTTGGGATTCTCGATGACGGTGATATCTGATCTTTTTCTCTGTTTTATGTTTGCATAATGTATGTTTTCCAATGTTTGTGCATTCTATTTTTAGCTTTTTTCCAAAATTCGCGTGTGTTAATCGATTAACCTATAGGGTTAACCGATTAACACTGTTAGTTTTTCAATTCTGATTTAATTTTTTAATGTGTTAACCGATTAACCTATTGGGTTAACCGATTAACACTGATACTTTTTATTTTGGAAATTAATTTTTTAATGTGTTAACCGATTAACCTATATGGTTAACCGATTAACACTGTTAAAATTTTCAAAACTCAGAAACGAAAAATTATTTAAAATTTTGGAAAATTAAGTGTGTTAAATGCGTTTTTTATGTGTGGTTAATATTTCCTTGAACATCTAAATCATTATCCAAAGAATTCTTCTTCTTCTTCTTTGACTACACTTTTGGACTTCCAACCAACATTAAAACCCACTCAAATAATTCCTCATATATATTGCTCTCACATTATCCTCTCCTCCATCTCTCAAAACCCTAACTCCTTCAAGAATCCAGAACCCTCAGAAACTCTCAAACTTCATCCATGGCATCATCTCACAAGGGCAAGGGAAAGTTACCGGAATATGACTCTGCATCAGATGAAGACAGCATTCCGATGGAGACAACCAAGAAACGCCGGATGGATTTCAAGGTTCTTGTCCGTCATATTCTGCAGGTAAAGTACGTAAACCTTAAGGCTTTTCCTGCTTCATCCTTTGATTTTCCTGCTCTGCTCAAATATCAGAAGATAGATAAGTTTGCTTCTGACTCTGGAAATTGTTACCATGATTTGGTTAAAGCATTTTTGAATAAATTATTTGTGTATTTGAATGCTGATGATGAGCACATTATGGAAACCACTGTTCGAAATTGCATCTTGAAAGAGAATCTGACCGATATTGCTGCAAAGTTGAAAATTCCATCCTCTGTCTACTTTCTCCGGAAAGGAGTTAACCACGTGGAAGGACTGTGGTCTAACTATGAAAAAATGGAATACTATTATCAGATCTGAAGGTTTCCAAAGGAGAAGGTTGTAGCAAATCAACGAACGACTCGCATGCTCTGTTATGCAAAAATTCTGACGGTTTCGGACCGGATGTTACACTACATAATCTGCTATGTGATGATTCCGAAGGATTCGAATCATGCTCAGATCAATGACCTCAAAATGCAGCTTCTTTTCGCAATCAAAAACAAGATCAGGGTAAATTGGATTTTGACAATCATGTATCATCTTCAACAACAGCTTTCTCTGTCGACACGTCTTCCTTATGCCAGGCGGGTTTCAAGAATCCTTGAGTTGACGGATTTGGACCTTAAAAGAGAACCATTCACCAAGATGAAACCAACAACCAATGAGATAAACGAGATCACCATTGTTAAGAACACTGGTATTATCAAAGGCGTTGACGACACTTATAAGTATGCAAGCGAAGGATCCGCCTCAAACCAAGCATATCCCATTCCCGAATGGGGTATTACAAATGAGTTTCTCTATACAACTATTATGACCCAACATTGAGAAACTATAAATTTTCACCGAGAAACCTCCAGGGCAATTGCTTCTCTTCGCAACCTTATCCTTACCGGTCATCCTTCCAACCCCGGGATTGTTGAAGAAGAACATGCAGATGATGAAGGTAGTGAAGAGGAAGAAGCAGAAGACGTGGATATGTCCGATGAAGATGTTTAGGAAATATTTGTTTCTGTTGCTTTTATTGTTTTTTCTTTCCGGATATCGTTTAAGTTTTTAAAGTTGTAACCGTACACTATTTGCTGCACTTTTATGTTTACTGCATTTTTTATTTCAAACAAATTTGTTGTGCTTGATTATATGTTGTCATGTATACTGATATTGCTTTTGTTTGGTTTGAAATCTCCTTCCTTTTTGTTGCTAACAAAGGG